TACAAGAAAAAAGAGTTGAGTTTTTTTCAGACACACCCTTCTCATAAAGGGGGGGGGGGTTACATCCCATTTTCAGACACACCCTTCTCAAAACCAAAGTTTGCTTTAAACCACAAGAGGTCACTGCGTTATCACTTTCTTGGAAATTTATTGCTGAAATTAAATCTGAAAAGCGTTCAAATGAAAATTGAATGAGTTAGAGCTAGAAAACTCATTAAAAACATTTAAAAACAGATTTTTAGACCTTTATTTGGCTCTAACATTTTAAATTTTTAATACTTTTAAGAATGGTTTTCAGATCTGATCTGAGTTCAGCATAACATTTCTAAAATATGGTGTGTCACATTTTTGAAATATATTTTCAATTAGCATCCGTTTGGACGATTTTGAAAACAAACTTTATAACACTGATTTCTAAAATAAAAGGCAGGAATTAATCATAAAGTTGTCGAATAAGATTAATTTTTCAATTTAGATAAATTTAAATATTCATCATTTTAGGCTTGTGTCGGGTTGTCCCAAGGGTTGGACGACGATCCGTTCGGAACTCTAGCCAGGCTTGTCCAGGAGAAACAAGCGGAGCAAGATGGAACCCTACCCAGTCAGCTTTCAATCAGAGAAAGTTACTCATTAAAGGAAGAGAACGCACCACCAGAAACAACCCCTTCAACATTAAATGCCACTGAAAAAGTTGAGAAAAGAAGTAAAACTTCCAGAGACTATTTTAAACGATATTCAAACCTTCGAGTTAAAGCCAAGAAAGCGGACACTGCTGAACCAGATGACAATGTCAGAAGAATTAATTTAAAGAAAATTGAAACTAGAAACTATGAGAATACCAGGTTGTTAAGAAGTAGAATCAAAGTAGGGGACAAAAATAATGGCACAAAACCTCAGGTACATTCAAGTTTTTCATTTAAATTGTCTTTGTTAGTCATAGTTATTAACAAAAAATGTTTAAAAGTTTTCCTAACATTATAATTAACACATATAAAACAAGAAGCCTTTATTTAGACTAGGATTTTAATTCTATTTTGTGGAGTGGTTCTATATACTCCTATCTATTATTCACACTTTTTAATTTGTTTTCTTAACTTTCGCCAACATTTTCTTTTTTTGAAATTTTTAAAATAATAATATCCAAAAAGGAACATAATAACAAATAATAATAATAATAATAATAATAATAACAATGATAATAATAATAATAATAATATTAATAATAACAATTATAATAATTCAGTCTCCTGTTGAAACGGAAGAAACGTCCTTGCTCCGAGACCGGAGGAAAACTGGGAGACAAACTTTAGCGGCAAAACTTTCAGGTTTAAAACGTTTTTTAAAAGGTTTTTTTTCGAAATTTAAATGTGTATTGATTTAAATTTGTCTAAAGTCAATATTTCAACGTGAATATACAGTTGTATTTTTAATGTTAATATACCTACCACGTAATGTGCATATTTTTTATATATTGATAAAATCTTTATAAAGATTTACAAAATTACAAAAAATGTCTCATTTTTTTAGAAAACAGTGAAAACATAAAAGATATTTTTATTTCCCTTTTTTGAAAAGATGAGAAAGCACAAACGACACGCCTTACATTTTCTAAACTACGAATCATAATTCGTGATGTGCAATATCTTGGTTTGTTTTTTTAAATTTTCAGGTTTTTGGACTTTTATGATTTTCCATCCAAATCTGAGTAGTTTTACAAAATTATTTTATCGAAACAATTGATAAAATTGCCAAATTTAACCTTTTCCCTGAAATTTTCTCTTAGGATAACAATTTATTACTTTTAATAGAACCAATTATAATGCTGATTTATTGTCTAAAGAATCTTTTGAATATGTTAAAACAAAGAAAAATATGGTCACCCTCCGCGCGTAATGAATAATTGGAAATTAAAAAATAGCAATTTAAATCATTTTAAACGTTCGTTAAAACAAAATTATATTTTAAACTGCTAGTTTTTTTTGGTAAATCAAAAATTTTATTGGATAAATATAAAAAGTAACTTTTATTAATTGGATCAATATAGAAAAAAGTAATAAAAGTAATAAGAATTTCCAACATAAGAAGAAAATTTGGGGTTGATGATAATAAAATAAGTGTTATTTTCACATTTAAAAAAATATAATTTCGATTTAATAACCATCAAAATCAATATTAAAAAATGTTAAAAAATCACAAGAAAATAAACTTTAATAAAAAAAAACTGCAAAATTGGTTGTCAAAGGAAAAAGGAAACGATTATGATATGATATAAAGATAATTTGTAAATATTCACTTTTTAAAGAATGTTTAAAGATAATCTTCAAATTCCATAAGAATGGTTTCTGTCAAAAAAATTTAATAAACTGTTCAAATGTACGTATGACTATAAAGGGGGGCCTGGGTCGATTGAAATCCAAATTTAAATATTTTATTTTGTCACTTTATTAGTTTCCAGCTTACACCCTCAACTTTACTCAATCTACTTTTTTAAGAATAAAACCTTCGTCAACAATTTGAAGAAAAAAATAATATTAATAATGATAATATTATTGATATGAGTTAAAAATACATAAACGTTGTATTTTCTAATTTTTTAAAAATACTTAATTAGGTATAAAAGTACAAACTTTTTTATATTACAGGAAAAATTTGAAGAAGAAAAAAAACGACAAAATATATAAAACATCATGTTTGCAAAGAAAGTAATTTCAAACCGAGTTTTTATTATTTTGATAAATGTGATAACCATGAAACTATGGAATAGGAAGAAGCTTATAAAGACGCAACAAGACACTTATAAAATCACTAATTTAGTGAAATGGGTCACACGGATCAATTTCTTTGCCTCATGTTCATTGGACATTTTCAAGTTATCAGTTTATTCTAAAAGTCGTTTATCTATTCCAGAGTTTTCTGGTTATCACTGTATGATTTATTTTCCAGTGAAGAGTGAAGAAAAGGAAAGAAATACTGAAGCTTCTAAGATTGTGGAGGTTAGAGTAGCCCCTCCCCCCGGACATCTGGTACGAGGTGATCACGGAACAAGATCAAGGTTTTCATCTTCCACGAGCTCTGATAGTCGCAAAAATAATAACTCCGATACATCAGTGTCTGAGCAGTCCTGGAGTTGGCACGGATTGAGAACTTCTCCGGATCCTTTGGAAACTAAGAGTGATGAAACTTCAGATCAGGATGAGGTATTCAAGCTTGATTCAAGACCAAGAACCTCTAGAAGGACGGAGGATCTTGATAAACCTGGAGCAGACTCTAAACAAGACTCTAAACATAATGAAGGTGTCACTAAATCATCCGAGTTTACAACCCCCTCTTATTCTTCTTTAAGTCAAGAAGAGACTGAGGAAACTAAAAGAAGATTATTACGGATTGAAAGAATACCGGGAAGATTAAGAGGAATTAAAGGGACCCAGCGCCAACCAAGAATTACAGAATCAGAAAAACGAATTTATCCGAAAACTGAAAACAGTCTTGATCAACTGTCTAAGGATCAAATCTCCCGAGGTGGCTTTGATTCTGACTTCTTTCACGATTTTCCTAAATTTTCTGGATTTGACCACGGATCTCCTGTTCCCAATCATGTTCCATATTATGAAGAAGCACCGGTCAAAGAACCGATAAATCATGATAAGGCACCAGTAGATCCCTCTGTGCTGTATGTGAGTGATCCCTGGAAAGATATAGAAGGAGTTGACTCCGATAAGTATTTACCTAAACCATATGCTCCTCTTACAACATCAAGTCCGTACAGTTACCAGGAACCTAGTTACCATGCCCCAGAATCTAATTACCATGCCCCGGAACCTAGTTACCATGCCCCGGATCCTAGTTACCATGCCCTGGAACCTAGTTACCATGCCCCGGAACCTAGTTACCATGCCCCAGAATCTAATTACCATGCCCCGGAACCTAGTTACCATGCCCCAGTACCTAGTTATCATGCCCCAGAACCTAATTACCATGCCCCGGAACCTAGTTACCATGCCCCAGAACCTAGTTACCATGCCCCAGAACCTAGTTACCACCCCCCAGAACCAAGTTACCATGCCTCAGAACATGGTTACCATGCCCCAGAACCTAGTTACCATGCCCCGGAACCTAGCTATCATGCCCCTAAGCCAGCCTACGATTCTCCCAAAGACCACTACACCCAAAAACCTAATTTTCAGTATAAAAAACCAGCATATCGACCTCCAATCGGCGCCAAGCCCGTGCACAACGAACCAACATACGATAAACCTTTGTACAACGAACCTAAACCGTACAACAAACCTTTGTACACAAAACCTGCGTACACAAAAAAAGTGAACAATAAGCCTGTGTACACCCCGGAGCCTGTACACCCAGATCTATATAATCAAGACTTTTTTTCAAAGTTTTCACCTTTTGATTCTCAAAAAGAGACTTTTCACTCTGAAGTCTTTTATACTCATCATGAAGATGAAACTTATCATCCAAAACCTCATCATGAAGACAATTCATATCATCATGTATCTCATCATGAACCTCTGCAAAAACCACACCAAGTGTATCATGAACCACAACAAGTTTATCATGAACCACATCAAGTTAACCATGAACCACATCAAGTTTATCATGAAACTAATAATGTTTATCACGAACCCCAAAAAAATTACCATGAACCCCATCAAATTCATTATGAACCACATAAAGAACACTATGAGCCACATAAAGTCCACTATGAACCACATAAGGTTCACCAAGAAACATATAAAGTTCCTCATGAACAACATCAATTCCATCATTCCTACCACCACGATGATAAGTCCTACAAGACTGAACTCCATAAAGATGTTTCTAGTCTAATCTACCATGATAATGATCCCTACTCTAAGGTGTCCAAAAATCCTGAATTATATCCCTCCAACCCCATCTTCCATGAAAACAGTGCCGGATTCCAGGATTTTGAATTTCCAACTGATTTTGGACTTTCCTCCAGTCCTCAGCCAGTCTTTGCAGAGGCAGGACACAGAAACAGAGATGGGGATGCCAGGTATAAGAAACAGAAACAGAGATGGAGATACCAGGTATAAGAAACAGAAACAGAGAAAGGGATGTCAGGTAAAATAAACAGAAAAATAGATGTAATGGCAGTAAAATAAACAGAAACAGAGATGGAGATATCTGGTATAATAAACAGAAACAGAGATGGAGATATCAGGTAAAATAAACAGAAACAGAGATGGGACACCAGGTAAAATAAATAGAAACAGAGATAGGGATACCAGGTAAAATTATTTTATGAAACTATTGTTTACTTTATCATTCTTACTCACTTCATCGTGAATTTTATACTGAACGTGCTATAAAGTAACCATCGTGCTATAATGTTAAATTAGCTGTACATTACAGCACATAGCACGTGTGCAATGAAGTTTTGATTGGTTCCTGGATTTTCTCCAGAAAGTTAGGATATTTTCAAAATTTTTTTTTTTAATATAGAGAACATTTCTGTCCAAAACCTTTATAAGACTGCGAACTAAAATAACAGTGTTTTAAATAGTTAATCAAGCAAAAAATTACAGAGGCGAACACGGGAGGGGACTTTCTAATAATTTTCTTTTTAAAAATTTTATAGTTCAACCATTACTATTTGTGTATAATCATGTATTACTCTAATACTGAATTAAAAATGTCAAAAAATGTCTCTGTCATATTAATTCAATCGTGGTTCTTTGAAGACTATTTCCTATTATCAAACGAACAATGTCTGCTATTCAGAAATATTTTAAACTGAAACAAAATCTTTTAAATTCTTATTATAAAAGAAACTTACCAATTATTTTAAAGAATAAAATTCACAAGAAAAAAGAGTTGAGTTTTATTCTATATACTGGATATCTTTTATAAGCAACAATTAAGATTAGATTTTTGGAATAAAACCACAAAAGAATATTTAATTTGTTTATGAAAGTGTGTTTTCAATAACTTACATTAATCTTATTTTTTTAATTGAACAGAATAAACAACTTTTTAAATGCGCACAGTAGCAATACAAATATACGGTAAGAGCAAAGTAATTTTAGAATATGGTAACAAATAGTTAATCTGTTCTAATACCATTTGATTCTCAAAGTGTATATTAATATATATTTATATTAAAGGATATAATAAATAGTTGATAAATTGCATTCATTTATTTATTATTATTTTTTAAATGGAGCTGAAACTGGAGAAAAAGGATCTTTTCGATGGTTCTCTGATCATCCTGTTCAGTCTTGGTCTTCTTCAAGATTTCATCGGTTTTAAAACAGTGGTTGGCATTTATATCAATACAATGAATACAACTATGCTATCTAAGTTTTTAAATTTAAGAATTTACAAGAAAATGTGTGTGACAACATATCTTTGTTTCCAGTTTCTGATTATCCATGATGTTTAACAAGCTTTGGAAGTAATCAAAATTAAAATAGAAAGTCGTCTTTATTGTATTGATATACACAACGATGACTGTATTATCAGTGCCAATCAGTGTAACAGCTAAATTAGTCAAATTCTCGAGAAAAAAAACGTCAGCTCAGCCATATTTATTAGTTGTGACGTCAATCTCTAAAAATTATCTAGTCTAAAGTTTTGTAAACACATTGATTAAGGTTTTTTTATGTAAAGAAAAACAGGTTAATGGCCTCAAACTATACTTTGTTAATACTTTTATCTTACCTGATGCCGTAGAAAGGAACTGCCCGAGTAGAATCTTAGAGTCGGGAACCTAGTCTTAGGCGCCGGGCCGACTTTCTCCGACCCTCTGTTTTTGGAAAAAAATATCAAATTTC